AAAAAACAACAGCAGTTTAATATTCAGTCTGACATTTTATTGAAGTGTTGAGTTGTAGATTGTGGTGCTGTTGAACTGTACTGGATTACACTGACAGCAGTTTCTCATTTAGTCTGTCCTCACCAATATAAATGGATCAAACAGGTCAGATGTGAAGAGGAAAAGTTTATTCAGCCACACTTCAGACATCAGGTATACAATTCATATCAGATAATCAATATTTAAAATGCTGTTGAATAAATACTACAATAAATACAATTAATCTTTAAATACAATAAATAAATTACAATAAATTATTAAAATCATTATTGAATGGTAAAAACATATGAATAAGCAAAAGAATACAAAGAACAACAATAATATAATAATATATCTTACACTGAGACTGAATGTTGCCCATTAGACATACCCCTAAGGAATTACATTTCATATTTAACCACTACAGAGATATCAGCCACGAGTTTCAAAAGGACTACCCAAGAGAGGCTGCTCTCAGTGGGACACACACATGTTTATTATCTATGAGCGCTGACACCGCTGTCATCTAGCGGACCTCAGTCACATTCAGCTGAGCTCTATATTAATACATCGACCACGGGTCTGACGTTTAAACTACGCATGAAAACACTACGTTCTGTGACAAAACAACAGTCACATATCGGTAATTACGGCTTGCAATTGTGCGCCTTTCCCTCACTCACCATTTCCAATGGTTGTTTGCGAAATGCATGCTGGGATACCTGGCTGTCTAAGTCCACACAAGTCTGCTCCGATGCATCCCCGGTGAAATGGGTGTAGCGAGAACACATCCGGACATTTGGACTGAACTTGGCTAGATGTGAACTTTGAGTTGGAACAGTACTTGGGCTGTGACTGATGACGTGTCACAAGTCCACGAGAACACAAGTCCACACAAGAACGCATATTGAGAAACGGCTCACCACCTACTCATGGTGCGTTTAAAGACAGCTAGGAAAAACACGTTACCACATGTTAAAAACGAATTGAACGGTTGTAACGGCTGTCAAAAGTGCAGGGGACGGAGGGCACAGATACGGGAAGTGCGGGGGACATGTTCAGTAATGAACTGGACCCTCTGTTGAAAACAATGGGGGTGTTTTTGGCCTCTTAAAAGCTGTCTCTCAGTGGACCAAAAATTTACTCAAGAGGTTTTCATCATTTTAACTGCCAGTGGTTATGTGTGAATAAAGCAAATAATTTTCAGCACAGTTTGCAGGACGAGATCTAAATAATGTGTTCATCTCCACAGAGAGAAGAAGAGGAGTCATGTTTCTGTGGAGGAGCAGCCGTCCTGCTGTAGTTTGTGTCTGGACGTCCTGAAGGATCCAGTCTCTACCAGCTGTGGACACTGGTTCTGCAGACAGTGCATCATCTCATACTGGGACCAGTCTGCTTCATCAGGAGACTCCTCCTGTCCCCAGTGTGGAAAAAGATCCAGAACAAGTGCTGGACTGCAGACAGCCAGTCAGACCAGCACTGTACAAAGTAAGACTGTACATCTGTCTGCTGATGTCATCATGTCTGAAAACAGGATTCTTCTTGGTTTATTTGTGTTGTAAAGTGTAGACATGAAAGATTTTATAAAACTAATGTATAAAACCTTCATTTGTTTGTGTTACTTGTTTTAATGTTGGTCATGAAAATAATCAGATTCCAGATTTATTTCTTTAGTCTGACATGTTTCCTTCTCTTTCAGCAGACAGTGGTCTGCAGGAGGTTTTAGATGAACATAAGATCAGTGTGAGGAGGAGATGTGAACGTGTGACTGAAGGAAGTGATGAAACAGGAAGTGAAACCCTCCTCAACAGGATCTACACTGAGCTCTACATCACAGAGGGACAGAGTGAAGAGGTTAATACCCAACATGAGGTGAAGCAGCTTGAGAGAGCTTCTAAGATGAAGACCCTCCATGAAACTCCAATCAAGTGTCAGCACATCTTTAAAGCCTTACCTGACCAACAGAAACACATCAGAGTGGTTCTGACCAACGGCGTCGCTGGCGTTGGAAAAACCTTCACAGTGCAGAAGTTCACTCTGGACTGGGCCGAGGGTTTGGAAAACCAAGATGTCAGTGTGGTGATTCTGCTTTCGTTCAGGGAGCTGAACTTGATCAGAGATGAGAAGTTGAGTCTTCTCACTCTGCTCCGTGTTTTCCATCCAACATTACAGAAGGTCACAGCAGAGGAGCTCGCTGTCTGTAAAGTTCTGTTCATCTTTGACGGCCTGGATGAAAGCAGACTGTCTCTGGATTTCCACAACAATGAGGTTGTGACTGATGTCACACAGAAGTCATCAGTCAACGTGCTGTTGACAAACCTCATGGAGGGGAAGCTGCTTCCCTCGGCTCTGGTCTGGATAACTTCCCGACCTGCAGCAGCCAATCAGATCCCTCCTGCATGTGTTGACAGGGTAACAGAAGTACGAGGCTTCACTGACGCCCAGAAGGAGGAGTACTTCAGGAGGAGAGTCAGTGATGAAGAGCGGTCCAGCAGAATCATCTCACACATGAAGACATCCAGGAGCCTCCACATCATGTGTCTAATCCCAGTCTTCTGCTGGATCACTGCTACAGTTCTGGATCACATGTTGACTACAGAGCAGAGAGGAGAGCTGCCCAAGACCCTGACTGACCTGTACTCACACTTCCTGCTGGTTCAGACAAAGAGGAAGAAGCACAAGTATGATGAGGGACATGAGACCAGTCCACAGGAGCTGACGGAGGCTGACAGGGACGTTCTTCTGAAGCTGGGGAGGCTGGCGTTTGAACATCTGGAGAAAGGAAACATCATGTTCTACCAAGAAGACCTGGAGCGCTGTGGTCTTGATGTCACAGAGGCCTCGGTGTACTCAGGAGTTTGTACAGAGATCTTCAAAAGAGAGTCTGTGATCTTCCAGAAAACAGTCTACTGCTTCGTTCATCTGAGCGTTCAGGAGTTTCTGGCTGCAGTCTACCTGTTCCACTGTTTCACCAACAGGAACACAAAGGTACTGGAGGACTTCCTGGGGACAGACAAGGATAATTACAGATCCCTGGATGTCTTCTTACAGAGAGCCATGAAGAAATCCCTCCAAAGTAAAAATGGTCACCTGGATCTGTTTGTCCGCTTCCTTCATGGCCTCTCTCTGGAGTCCAACCAGAGACTGTTAGGAGGCCTTTTGGGTCGGACAGACAACAGTCCAGAAATCATCCAGAGAGCCATCAACAACCTGAAGAAGATGAACACAAACAAGATCTCTCCTGACAGAAGCATCAACATCTTCCACTGTCTGCTGGAGATGAACGACCTCTCAGTACATCAGGAGATCCAAGAGTTCCTGAAGTCAGAGAACAGATCAGAGAAGGAACTCTCACAGATCCACTGCTCAGCTCTGGCCTACATGCTGCAGATGTCAGAGGAGGTTCTGGATGAGTTGGACCTGAAGAAATACAACACAACAAGGGAGGGACGACGGAGACTGATTCCAGCTGTGAGGAACTGCAGAAAGGCTGGGTAAGTCCAGATGTGATTAACATCATAAATCATTGTAGATTAGTAGTTTAATTCTTCAAATATACACACTATGAAATTCTTATTATTCATAAAATGTTCAAATGATGTGTCTGTTGTATTTTGTCACAGATGTTCTTGAGCTGTTTCAAATGCTGTGAGTGCAAAACATGTAGATGTTTCAGTTGGTTGTGTTTATAGCTGTTGAGTTCATCAACACAGTTTTTCTATTTATTTCTAATCATTGTTCCAGTTTACAGTTTTTCACCTTTATGTGATGGAGGCGCCATGTGAACCTGATAAAACAAATGATGGACTTCAGAGGTTGTTGTTGAGGTTTTATCACAGCAGCATTTCATCACAGTATGGCAGTATTTGATGGTTCTGAGTGAAAGCAGTAAAGTTATTACTCCATAAACAGATTGTGTAAGGTGTTTTATAGAATCAGACATGCAGATAATACCTGAGTTTATTCACCACTATGCTTAAACATTTAAAATAAGATCTGTATCATTTGCCAAAGGAGATTTCTGAAGTCCTAAAAACTGCTTTTATCCAGTTGTTGCTATCTCTTTTTTCATGCCTCGGCGCCGGCGACAGTCGTGGCCAGAGGCATCATGTTTTTGGGTTGTCAGTCTGTCCACGACATCTCAAGAACACCTTGAGAGGATTTCTTTAAATTTGGCACAAACGTCCAGTTGGACTTAAGAATGAACTGATTAGATTTCGGTGGTCAAAGGTCAAGATCACTGTGACCTCACAAAATATGTTTTTGGCCATAACTCAAGAATTCATTCACTAATTATGACAAAACTTCACACTAATGTCTAACAGGATAAAATAATGAAGTGATGAGATTTTATATCCAAAAGGTCAAAGGTCAACTTCACTGTGACATCATCATGTTCTGCATAAAACACTTCTCTGGTCATTATTAAACGTCATATCTCAGGAACAGAAGGGGAGACATTTGGTCAGAGACTGAGTTGGTGACACTGATCTTGAAACTGTGCTGATTGTATAGATCTTCTGTGCTGTCGGGTTGAAGATGTGTGTGAAGCGTCTGTGTTTTAGAATAAGTAGCTTCTTTGCAGCAACATCCATATTTGAATCATTGTCTACTGTCATGGACACATATGAGTCTGGACAGACATGGATGTAAACTGTAAGTGTAACTTGACTGGTGAAGCATACGACCACGAGGCAGTAATTCTGGTCATGAATCAGCTTTTAATTAGTTTGAATTCTTTGTGTTCTTTTTTTATTCTTAACTATTTTCAGTCCATCAAAACAGGATATTTCAAACTGTTTTATCATCAAATCCATAAAGTAAATATAAAGTGTCTCTTTGACAATAACAGATTTTGTAATATATGTGTCATGTCAGATTTACTGAATGTGGAATCTCAGAGACTCACTGTGAAGTCGTGGCCTCAGCTCTGAAGTCCAACCCCTCCCATCTGAGAGAGCTGGACCTGAGCTACAACAACGACCTGCAGGATTCAGGAGTGAAGCAGCTGTGTGCTGGACTGGAGAGTCCAAACTGTAGACTGGAGACTCTGAGGTCAGTTCACTTGCTTATGTAGGTGTTTGTTTGTTTGTTTTTGGATATATATAATATAAATCCTTGACTGAGGTTATAAAGCTTTCAGTGTTTTCAGAAATGTTGTGTCTTTCCAAATGGCTGAACAGTTGGTTATGAAAGGCAGAGAAATGATGATTTAGAACATTTAGACACCATCAAGTTTGAGATTTATCCAAACAGAATTTAAGATTCCTGAGGTTCTGAGGTTTCTTTGTTTTCATGTTAACGTCACATAATCATTTGAAGTCACAGACCTTTAGACTGCAACAATAAGCAAATAAATAGTCTGCACTGGAAACATCTTGGACTTTAAGGACAGGTTGATATTCTTTCACACTCACACGCCCATTAGGACTGCACCATTAATGATCTGGATTCATACGTCTATGTGATCTCATTTCTAAATGACAAGCATTCACTGGCTCCTGTTTCCCTATGCATCCATGTGTTGACTGATGTGCTGTGGAACAATCCCAGTTGCTATCAAGTGTTTCCTCTATCAGTGGGATCCCCCACCCCCCTGAAAGAAAGCAAATATTTTATTGATGTTATTGACCTTGTTTATGTGCACTGCTTTGATTTGAGCTCAGTGTGAGAGTCTTTACTGTGTTTTCCTGTCGCTGGGCTGCGTTTCTCTCCCTCCTCCTCGACCCACACAGGTGACGTTACTTGAGTTAACAGCCTCTGGTTACATCACTGTAAGTGGAATAAAATCTTCCAAACGTGTCATTTCTTATTGTAATCCACCTAAAAGCAAAGACAGACACATGTGGACTCCAAACTAGTGGAGCTGAAGCTGACAGGCTCCGCCCCCTCCAACAAGCATGTGTTGAGGCTCAACTGGTGTCTGTACAGCAGCCCAGAGTTTTCAAAGTGTCTGTGTGTTCACAAGTTTTGTATCTTTGAACTGAATCTCTGTGGTTTGAAGTTTAGTTTCTCTCCTGCGTTGCTGTTTGTACTTTCAGATATCTGCCTTATTTTACCATTTCATGTTCGCTGTCAGACGGATAAGATTCGTATGAAGTCACTGCAGATGAAAAGCCAATATTTTCTGCTTTGGCTGCTTCACAATAAAAGCTAAACAAAGCTAAAATAACAAAACAACATGGGACTTTTATTGTGAAGACGCATATTTTGTGTGACATTTATGACTGTATGCTCAATCATCTCTCGTGGTCGTGGTCTCATTTTGAAACGGAGCATCTTCAGATTAATGCCATACAAAATATCTGATGATCTTCTGAAGTTGGTCACAACACAAGATGATTTAGTCTTGAGTTTCTGTTTTTTTTTTGGTTATCTTAGCCGCCATCTTGACTGTAAGGAAGTCAGGAGGGACAACTCCAGCGGTCACAGCTGAGCAGCATGTGTTGTTGTCTAGAGTCACAGCTGTAATGCAGTCGCCTGGCAGAGGTCTGCACTCTACTGAGTGCACTTTGTAGTTCATGTCTGTAATCATTCCTTCTGTCCATACTGTCTGTTAAGCAGTCCCTTTTAGGGATGTTAACGGTTAACCGTTAGTCAGTTAGCCGCCGAGAATGTTTTTGACCGGTTATGTATGTGGGCTAATTACATGCAGACACACTGCGCTTGTGTTGCAGTAATAGCCTAACATGCTTCATTTAAACTTAACATCAGTTCATTGTCCATAAGAAATTGGTCAATTCTCTATGAAATACTGCAAAGTGCCATGAATTCCCGAATCGAAATGCTAAATTTAAGTGTTTTGTTATGAAGTAATGTTTGATAAAAATAAGTAATGTTTCATATAGCCGCTGTGCGCGCGGCGTTACATCCACAACAGATGTAGCAGAGAGAGAGAGAGAGAATGAGAGAGAGAGAGAGAGAGAGCAATTTTTTTTTAACCGGTTAGTTGTCCGTTAATGGGTATCGGTTACCGAAAGCAAATTTAGCCAAAACTGACTATTTGTCTAGTTCAGTGGTTTAATCCATTGACTGTGGCAGAGCAATGTGGAGCTAAAACCTTAAAGATAAACTCTGCAGGATCTTCCTTAAAAACAGTGTATAGACTCATACAGAAATAATCCCTCTCAATCATCACTTATGAGCCACTCTCAGTGTGTGCTGGTGTATTTCAATCAGGAGAGACATGTTTTTGGTTAGGAAAAAAAATATTTAATTACAATCAATCAATTTTATTTATAAAGCCCAATATCACAAATCAAAATTTGCCTCACAGGGCTTTACAGTGCACGACATCCCTCTGTCCTTTGGACCCTCACAGCGGATAAGGGAAAAACTCCCTAAAAAAAACCCTTTAACGGGGAAAAAAAAACAAAAAACGGTAGAAACCTCAGGAAGAGCAACTGAGGAGGGATCCCTCTTCCAGGACGGACAGACGTGCAATAGATGTCGTACAGAACAGATCAACATAATAAATAAACAGAATCCATATGGCACAAATGCACATGAGAATGGAATGTGAAAATGTGAAAAGTCTTTGGCGATTAGACCCCTTTGAGATGGTGAACTATAAGGAGGGTGATGGATCTGTAGCCAATTAGGAAACCCCCCAAAACAGAGTAAAGAGAGAGAAGGACGACAAACCGTTTGATGAGAGGCAATCCTTACCTTACCGGGAGGCAGCAGGCTACTAACGAAACAAGCAAATAAAGATCAGGAGGGAATGCATTGCAAAGTAAACATGAAACAAACTGAAACGAGGAGGCAGTGAAATGTGAATGAACAGATTAGATGGCCTGCATGATTCTTGAATGGAGAAGTTTAACCTTAATGAGAACATATGGTAGGGATGAGACTGGGACAACAGTTGTGGACTGCTGTCTAGAAAGCGCGGGATGTGAGATAAGTATGGAAAAGGAAAGTGGCAGAGGGAGTCTTGCAGAGGTCTAACCACTGAAAAGGAGCCAGAGGTGAAATGCAGTGGCAGGGGAAAAGGTCGAATGGCAGAGAGGAAGCTAGGGATGGGCATGAATCTGGAGGCCATGGTGTCTATATGTTGAATGAAATAAAAGGTCAGTGAAGACCAACAGAAATGAAGATCGCAAGACCCAAACAGAAAATAAGGTCAGAAGACCAACTTAATATAATGCAAACAAAAGGCAAAGGTCCGGCGACCAAACATAAATTAAAGTCAGCAAGATTAGCATGACAGCAACAGAACTTAAGGGTCTGATGACCAAAATGAAATTAACGTGACTGGTGCAAGGTCCTAATGACCTAATAAAAGATCAGTAAGACCAAACATAAATAAAGGTCATAAGACCAAACAAAAATTAAGATCACAAGACCAACTCAAATAAAATGGAGAAAGAAAAAGAAGGTCCGGCGACCAAACATAAATTAAAGTCAGCAAGATTAGCATGACAGCAACAGAAATTATGGCCCGACGGCCCAAAAGAAATTACCGTGTACAAGCATGAGGTCCCGTAGACCTGGGTACACAAGCTGGGGTCCTAAAGACCTTCAGTATAAACAAATAAAAGGTCGGGAGGCCGAAACGAAATAAAAGGTCTCTTGACCAAACAGAAATTAAGGTCGGAAGACCAACATAAATAAAATGGATAAATTAAAATAAGGTCCAACGACCAAACATAAATTATGTCCGATAGACAAAACAGAAATTAAATGGGTTCTTCTGTCCAAAGAAAATTAAGTGTTGCACGGATGGATTTTCTGAGGCGGTCCAATGACCTTGGTGTTGGTGCATTTGTATGAGGTCCCACAGACCCTGATGGAGCATTTGCATGAGGTCCCGAAGACCAGGGTTGATAGAGCATACAGCATGAGGTCCACAGATCATGATGAGCATAGCATGAGGTCCGAAGACTGAGGGTGTTGAGGCATACGGCATGAGGTCTCACAGCCATGATGAGGCTTTTGAATGAGGTCAGACTTAAGGCAATTAGTAAAAACAGTGTTCCCAAACCGGGATGGAGCATGCATGAAATCCTTATACCGAGGGTGATGGTGCATGAGAATACGGGTGTTACAAAGTGTAGAGCATTAGATGAGGAACTGAGACTGGGGATAGAGTAAACATTGGAGTGGGAGAGTGGATATATCTAATAGAAAGGATGCATGAAATAA